AAGAGGCAAAACCGAGTGTAGAAAGTTCCTATCATATTCTCTGTATGAAGTTACATCTCTCAAACAACCAAATCCAGCAATAACAAAGCTCAGAAATGAGGAGATGACAAAATATTTTTCTTTTCTTTTTGCACTTTTGGCCAGGGCCGGGTTTGAGCCCACCACCTGCAGTATATGGGACCGGGACCCTACTCCTTGAGCCACAGCAGTGCCCTTATTTATTTATTTATTTAATTACTTTATTTATTTATTTTTGAGACAGAGCCTCATGCTGTCACCCTGGGTAGAGTGCTGTGGCATCACAGTTCACAGCAGCCTCCCAACTCCTGAGTAGCTGAGCTCAAACAATTCTCCTGCCTCCACCTCCCAAGTAGCTGAGACCATAGGTACCAGCCCCAGCGCTTGGCTATGTTTTAGTTGCAGGTGTCATTGTTGTTTGGTGGGCCCCGGGCTGGATTTGAACTCGCCAGCTCTGGTGTATGTGGCTGGCACCCTACCCTAGCTGCTGAGCTATAGGCACCAAGCCAAAAGTCACTTTTATTTATTTATTTATTTTTTTGTAGAGGCAGAGTCTCACTTTATTGCCCTCAGTAGAGTGCTGTGGTATCACAGCTCACAGGAACCTCAAACTCTTGGGCTTAAGTGATTCTCTTGCCTCAGCCTCCCAAGTAGCTGAGACTACAGGTGCACACCACAATGCCTGGCTATTTTTTTTGTTGCAGTTTGGCAGGGGCCGGGTTTAAACCTGCCACCCTTGGTATATGGGGCCAGCGCCCTACCCTCTGAGCCACAGGCACCACCCTATTTATTTTTTTTAGAGATGAGGTCTTGTTCTTGCTCAGGCTGATCTCAAACTCCTGAGCTCAAGCAATCCACTCACCTCAGCCTCCCAGACTGCTAGGATTATAGGTGTGAGCCACTGTGCCTGCCCAAAAGTCATGTTTTCTATTACTCATATAAATTGTCAAATTAATATAATTTGCTCCAGATATATATATCCTCCAGATATCATAGCTTGAAACACAATCCCTCCAACCTCTTCCCCTTGGATATGTCCTTTGCCTTCTGTATCATCCATTTGTCTCTCAGTTGGCTCTTTCTCTTTAATCTATACCCACTTAATGAATGTCTTTCTTTCCATATTATAAAAGAACTCTCCTTTGACCTGATTTCTTCATCTATCATCTTTCTCTAACTTTCCTTGGTGCTAATCTTCTCCCTATCTAAGATTGCGTGAAAGATTATTTGGGATTTTCCTAAGCACTCCTTTATTTAGGAAGACATTCATGGAAATTGAGGCAGCTTAAGTCAAACAAGAGTGAGATAGCTAAAGAAATTACAGTACACCCACTCAATGGACTATAAAACAGTTCTCAATAGTGAATGAGGCTAGTCCCAGCTACTCAGGAGGCTGAGGCAAGAGAATCACCTAAGCCCAAGAGCTGGTGGTTGCCGTGCTGCCGTGGGCACTCTACCGAGGGTGACAAAGTGAGACTTTGTCTCTTAAAAAAAAAAGTGAAAGAGGCAGACAGTAGAGGGACATGGGAAAATGTTTGTAAGGTAAAATGAAAAAAGAAGTATGCATAAATTTGAATGCTTAGTAATTTTTTAAAGCAAGATAAAAAAATATGTCCTACAGCTTCTGTTATATAGCAAACAGCATAGAAGAGAACAATAAGAAAACAATATACTTTGTTAGGTGGAGCAATTGTAGGTACAATTTTTTATCTTTACATATTTTGTGATAAAATGTGCTATTGATGCCCCATCCTTCAGGCTGCCACCTCCCCTCCAAGGTACCCAAGAGCTACTTACACGGGGCAGGGTACACGAACTTTTCTGGATTCTGGCTGAGCAGGGCATTCTTAATATGGCTGCGACCTACCCCACTGGCTCCTGTGTGGAGAGAGAAGAAAGGCTTCCATCTCTTCCCCACAAAGAGAGAGGTAGGGATATGAGTGGGTATAGGATATGAATTTTCATCTTTTGGCACTTGAAGTTGCCAACAGGTGAAAATGAGTTGGTATCGCATCGGGGCTGGGGTCAGGTCCTTTAAGCCATCAGAAGATTTGGGGCCACCATGTGTCTTCAGGTCCTTTTGTTTAGAAGAAGAGGGTGTTTCTAAGGACTAAGGGTTGGGGCAGCGCCTGTGGCTCAAAGGATTAAGGTGTTGGCCCCATATGCCAGAGGTGGTAGGTTCAAACCCAGCTCCGGCCAAAAACAAACAAAACAAAACACCACACAAGGAGTAAGGGTTGGGACTCAGAACAAAATCATTTCTACAGAGGATCTAGCTAATGGGTTTTCTGTTTATTTCCTAAGGATATTCTCTCTTCTGAGCTCTCTAAAATTAACGGAACTGAATTTAAGCCAGTGTTTTTTATTGGCAATTGCACCAAAGCCCTAATATAGTTCCTCTAAGCAAGTACTGTTTCTATGCCAGGTACAAAAAGTTGAGGAACCCACCAGAGCCAAGGGCCACATAACTGGGTCTGGAGCCAGGAATCATTGTGTTTCATGTCATGTTTGTGACTGAACAGCTCAGGGACTCCCACTAACAAAGTGCTAACAAAACACTTTAACATACGTACTTAAAGAAGCAGCATATATCACTTCCGGCCATGGGAGGATGAACAAACAGTAAACCCAAGTTTAGGAACTCCCAGCACAAAACCCAACATAAGAAAACAGTTTAGTTTAGTAAGGTTTAGTTTACTTGTGAGGTAAACCCAGATGGGGGTACTCAAAAGGACCCAGAAAATTCTTTATAATTGTTCTATATGGAAAACCTAAATGACCTCACTCCTTTTCTTCCTTACTGCCTTTTATGGGCTGGGTACATAATGCAGGCAGGAGAATGAGGACAAAATGTACTCTAGCTATCAAAGCAGCATGAGGGTGATGAGAAGATACCAATCAGCACCAGGGTCTTCCTCTTGAATGCAGGCAGCCGAACAACTTCCTCGTATGAAACAACATCCAACTGGTCAAAAACTAGAGAGAAAGAAAACCAAGCAATGTTCATGTCCAGAACTGGGGAGAACAGTGGTCCAGGCCCTGAGGTGGGAAAGAACCACATCTTAACAAACAGGGAGGAAGTGACTGGAGATAAGGCCAGGAAGGTCAATGGGAGGAAGGACTTTGGATTGCTATTTATTTTTAGTGTTATAAGAAGTTTTGAGTAAGGGAGTTTAAGCTTTTATTAAGTTTAATAAGTTTAAGCTTATTATTCTCTCAGTTTGAGGCAATCTTTCTGGTTCCCTGTACTCTTTTCTATAGTTTCATTAACCTGATGGCTTTCTAACAGAGATGCTCCCCTCAGCTCCAAGTTCCTAGACATGCCAGTTGGCCATCTTATGGCCACTTAGAACTCAACAATCTCTGTATTATGTAAAATGTCCTCTGTCTCAGAGAATGGTGCTGTTATTGACCCAGCTACTCAAAATGGAAACCTAGGTCTCATCTCAACTTCATCTCTCCCACATCCATACAACTTCCTGGACTGCCACTCTCATTCTTGACCTCTTCTGGGGTTCTTCTTCCACTAGTACCAGAAAGATGTGAATGAAAAGCTGATCACATTAATCCTCTGCTCAAAACCCTTCATTCACTCCACAGAGATAACAGAACAAAATCTAAAATAGTCAGGGGCTCAGTGCCTGTAGCTCAAGTGGCTAAGGTGCCAGGTACATAAACCAGAGCTGGAGGGTTTGAATCTAGCCTGGGCCTGCCAAACAACAATGACAACTACAACCAAAAAAATAGCCGGGCACTGTGCTGGACGCCTGTGGTCCCAGCTACTTGGGAGGCTGAGGCAAGAGAATTGCTTAAGCCCAGGCGTTGGAGGTTGCTGTGAGCAGTAATGCCATAGCACTCTACCCAGCGTGACAGCTTGAGTCTCTGTCTCAAAAATATATATAAAATAGTAGCACAGGTGGATGAAGCTCCCTGTCACCTCTCCCCTGGCCTACTTCCCTTCTCCCATGATGGATGCTACAGCCACATGTACTTCTGTGTAGTCTCTTAACATACATTCAATAAACTGCAGTTGAATGGTAGATTATTAATTTGTTATCTATAACCTGGTTGAACCCATTTATAATTTTAGTATATTATATTTCCTATCATGGTAGGTAAAAAACAAAGCCAAAATTAGTTGACATGAAAAATATACTACTCTCCAGGGGTACATCCAGGCCATGCTGAAGGCACTGACACACTGAGCAAACTGTGAGCATAAATAGTCCAAAACACCATTCACTTGGTTACCTGAGGGCTAAGGCAATGAGATGTGGTCTACCCACATTTGCTGACACTGTCTCTCTGACTGCAGCAAGCTTGCAAAGGTGAATTTAATAAAAGAAAACCAGAAGACAAGAGATGTTTTCTGTATACACCACCTCCCCATCTCTGCTGCTTAAAAAGACTAGAAGAAGAAGGCTTGGAAAGCTAACTTGAAGGCGAGGAGGCAGGGCAATTGTTTGGATCTCACCTAATGTGCACAATGTGAGGGTGTACAACACACCCCCTGGGTAAAGGGCTCAACTACAAGTTGAACTTTACCTTGGAATGAAATCAGTGTAACCTAAACATCTGTACGCTCATATCAATTTGAAAAAAAAAAAAAGCTTACTTGAGCTGTGCTTGGCCAGGTACTTGTCTTTGTACTTCTTCTTCTTCCCAAAGGGACTGCAACTTGGGGCCTCAGGTGGCGCTGACTGAGCCACACTTGCCACTCGCCTGATAGGAAAAGACAACCATAGAGTCAGCACATCCTTCATGAAAAAGTTCATTTGCCTGTCCCGTGATAAGAGTGGGTGATACCCTGTCCTTTCTACATTCAACCTCTAGACCAGTGGTTCTCAACCTTCCTAATGCCACAACCCTTTAATACAGTTCCTCATGTTGTGGTGACCCCCAGCCATAAAATTATTTTCATTGCTACTTCATAACTGGAATTTTGCTACTGTTATGAATTGTAATGTGTTTTCTGATGGTCTTAGGTGACCCCCCCCAAAGGGGTCATGACCCACAGGTTGAGAAACGCTGCTCTAGACTGGTATGTTAAAAAATACCCTCTAAGCTTGTAATCTTTACAGTGGGGTTATTTTGTGGAGCCAGAGGGGAGGGTCAGTGCTTGATATGGAACCAGTTAGAGCTATTCTGTGTGGATTTTCTACCACTCCTATGGTATAACCTCGACCTAGGTGAGCAATCTGACTTGGGGATAGGAATGATTATTTTCTATGTACTATAGGCTTGAGTCTCTATCTTCCTATCTATAAAAAGGAAACACATGTGAAATCCGAGAAATAGCATGGGTACTAGCTTGAGAGGCAGGGGTACAGGGAAGGCTCTAGCCACAACATTGTCACTCGCTGTGTAACCATGGGGAAAGCAATGGCGGGAACAAGAAGCACACATACGGACAAAGAGATATTCAGGCTGCCCTACCTTTAGCAGCTTATAGTCAGCTTATCAACTAATGGTTGACTCTCTGTTACTTGCTATGCTAGGGCAACTGAGCAGTATGCTTGTTCAAGAACCAAAAACTACAAACAAGGTGATGGATTTCTAAAGCTAAGCAATGATTTGTGGCCAGAATATGGCCCTTCCATATTCTGATTTCACTTGCACAATAGCAGCTCACCATTCTTGCAGCTCTGGGGAAGGAATCAATCCTGCTGACTCCTTGGAGGAGCCTTCCACCCGCCCCTGCCACCAGTTGCTGTCATCCTTGTTGATGATCTGAATTATGTCCCCAGTAACAAACTTCAGTCCCGCCTCCTTGCAAGGGATCAGATTGTCCTTTTTGGGATCATAGTCAAACTGAGCTCTCATGAACATCTGAAAAAGAAGGCAAAGAGAACTGCAGGTGGCAGCTTTAAAAATACACTAGCATGAAGGATCACTTCTGAGGTTTAACTTACAAGGGTACGGGTGAATCTTTCTAAGAGCAGAATGTGAACGTTTTAAAACAATAACTAAGAAAATGACATGAAGGCTATGTTAACCAGTTTGATGGAAGTGTTTCGGATTGTGTGTGAAAACCCCACACTGAACCCCAGAAGTGCATTAATGTACATAGTTACCTTTCAATTAAAAAAAAAATACACTAGCATTGGGCAGTGCCTGTAGCTCAAAGGAGTAGGGTGCCAGTCCCATATGCCAGAGGTGGTGGGTTCAAACCCAGCCCTGGCCAAAAACTGCAAAAAAAAAAATACACTAGCATCAGAGCATGTAAGTAGAATATTTGAATGAACAACAAGGAGCACCCAAGAGAGAGAAATCAGAACCCTGAAGTAATTAGAATTGCTCCCTGCTGTGCCTGCAGGGGGATCAGGACTAACCCATTTAGCAAGAAGGCATGATATGCCTTTCTAGGTCAACGTGTTCACTCTCATTGGATCTGAGTGAAAAAAATCACTTGAAAAAAATCTTTACAAATATTTTAAATAAGTTTGGTAGACCTTTTCTTTTTTCCTGTTTTTTGGCCGTGGCTGGGTTTGAACCCACCACCTCTGCCATATGGGGCCAGCACCCTACTCCTTTGAGCCACAGGTGCCTCCCTTGGTAGACCTTTTCTTTTTTTTTTTTT